TCTGGGAGGGAACAACACAGTCGCCATGCCTGACTAGGGCATGACCTGGGAGGCCTTTGGGGCCACCTGCCCCGGAACCCGGGGACATGGCCTCCCTGGGAAAGGAGGGTGAGGTGAGCCTCACAGCCGGGAATTGGAAGTGAGGGAGAGAACAGCTGCTGGGTAGTGGGAGTAGAGCTTGTGTCTCTCACCGCCCTCCCCCTCCAAGGACTGAGTAGAGAGGAGTGAGCCCCGATCCGCCTGCCAGGCACTTGGCCACGAGGACCCCTTATCTGCCAGCATCTGATAAAATTCCCTGCGTGGCTTCAGAGATCACTGCTGCCTGACCAGCGGGTGCTGTCATGGAATCTGCGTACAGAAAGCCCCCTGGGGTTCAGAGAAGTGGTGGGTTCATATAGAAGTAGAGGTGGGTTTTTTGTGTGTGTGTGTGTGTGTATGGAGACGGAGTCTTGCTCTGTTGCCCAGGCTGCAGTGCAGTGGCGCAATCTCGGCTCACTGCAAGCCCCGCCTCCCAGGTTCAAGCATTTCTTCTGCCTCAGCCTCCCGAGAAGCTGGGATTGCAGGTGCGTGCCACCACGCCTCATTCTTGTATTTTTAATAGAGACGGGGTGTCATCCATCCATTCCAGAAGCATTTGCCAAGCACATCCTGGGTGCCGGGCCCAAGCAGCAGGCTGGTCTCGAACTCCTGACCTCATGCGATTGGCCCGCCTCGGCCTCCCAAAGTGCCGGGATGACAGGTGTGAGCCACCACGTCCCACCCGGAAGCAGGAAAGACGTTAGGCTTCATCCGATGGCCGGGAAGGAATCAGGGCAGGGCTGAGGTGGGCTTTTCACGGGGTGGGGTGGGGTGCCAGGCTCTGTGTTGGGTGGGGTCACAGCAGCTGTTCTGTAATTAGTCATTACCGAGGCTCTGCCCGTAAGAAGTGTGGGCCAGGGAGAGCTGATGAGGCTGCAGGATGAAGGGGCCTCACAGACCCCTTTGCCCAGAAGAGGACCCCCGAAAGACCTTCCCTCTGAAGAGGGCTCCCCAAGCCCTCTTCCCTGAAAAGGGCTCCTCAAAAGGCCTCCCCCAATACCTGCCCTCTGAAGGAGGCCCCCCAGACTTCCCCCATGAAGAGGGTCCCCCAAAGCCTTCCCCCCCAAAGAGGCTCCCCAAGACCTGCCCCTGGAAGACAACTCCCCAAGATCTCCGTCTCGAAGGCTCCTCAAGACCTCTCCCCCGCGAAGAGCCCCCTAAGACCTTAACCCTGGAAAAAGGCATTGAGCTCGGCAGGTGGGCAGGAGCTGTGTACTCAACATCATCCTGGGGGTCTGTTGTCCTCCTTGCCCCACCCCAGCCCCCAGATAAATCCAGAGGGTGTTTTAGAGCCAGGCGGACACTCCTGGTATGCACCAGGCCCTCATAGTGCAGCGCTCGCTGAGTGGAGGAGGAGGAGGGAGTGGGTGAACCCAGCCGGCCAGGCTACCCTGCACAGAATTCCAGCCTTGTCACCCCACTGGGTTTTTTTGTTGTTGTTGAGACGGAGTCTGGCTCTGTCTCCCAGGCTGCAGTGCAGTGGCGCGATCTCAGCTCACTGCAAGCTCCGCCTCCCGGGTTCCCGCCATTCTCCCGCCTCAGCCTCCCGAGTAGCTGGGACTACAGGCGCCCACCACCTCGCCCGGCTAGTTTTTTTGCATTTTTTTAGTACAGACGGGGTTTCACCGGGTTAGCCAAGATGGTCTCGAGCTCCTGACCTTGTGATCCGCCCGTCTCGGCCTCCCAAAGTGCTGGGATTACAGGCTTGAGCTACCGCGCCCGGCCACTGGTTTTTAAATCATCGCAGTCTTCGCGACGTTCTATGCATGCCACACAGAGACACTCTTAGAGTCCAGAGGTGCTGCTTTTGCACAGTTACTCCAGTGAATAAAAAGACGGGCTGGGCGCAGTGGTTCACGCCTGTCATCCCAGCACTTTGAGAGGCCTGAGGTCAGGAGCTCGAGACCAGCCTGGCCAATATGGTGAAACCCTGTCTCTACTGAAATACAAAAAAATTAGCTGGGCGTGCTGGCGGGCGCCTGTAATCCAGCTACTGGGGAGGCTGAGGCAGGAGAATTGCTTGAACCTGGGAGGCGGAGTTTGCACTGAGCCAAGATCGCACACTGCACTCCAGCCTGGGCGACAGAGTGAGACTCTGTCTCAAAAAAAAAAAAAAAGCCGGGCGCGGTGCTCACGCCTGTAAATCCCACGCACTCTGGAGGAGCGAGACGGTGGTCACGAGGTCAGGAGATCGAGACCATCCTGGCTAACACGGTGAACCCCGTCTCTACTAAAAAAATACAAAAAAAATAGTCCGGGCGAGGTGGCGGGCGCCTGAGTCCAGCTACTCGGGAGGCTGAGGCCGGAGAATGCGGGAACCCGGGAGGCGGAGCTTGCAGTGAGCTGAGATCCGGCCACTGCACTCCAGCCTGGGCGACAGAGCCAGACTCCGTCTCAAAAAAAAGGAAAACAGCTGAAATATAACGAGATGGACACCCAGCCCGGGAACGGGAAAGCTGGGTGTGTCTGCCCTAAAAACATCACCTGGGCCTGCTCCGGTTTCTCCCCGCGTTTCAGATCCTGCCTGAACGTCGGTGCCTCGAGGTCAGGCTGTGGTTTGAGGGGCTCCGCCCCAGCCT